GGTGCGGGGCCGGTGCCGCAGGCTCCCAGCCAGCCTCCCGCCCCGCACAGCAAAATGAGTGAGTCCCTTTGTTCCCCTCCCGCAGCACTCGGAGCCGAGCTGCTGGGAGCATCTCGGTGGGAAACGCTCACTGTGAGCCGTTTTTGCAAAGAACAGAGCACTTCTGTGCTCCCAGCCTCCTTTTTAAACTGCAGATCTTTCCTGCTAATTAGCCTGTCTTGGTCTGCATAGCCGTGATTATTCCAACTGGCCTTAAATCCTGGCTGCTCCAGCTAGAGTGCATTGAAATGGGTCTTGTGACATTTGCAATTACTTTTAGGGTGAACATTTGAATATATTTGCATGACTGAAACAGATCAAGATAGCAGGATGGAGCAGAGGTGCTGCAAAAGTGCCAGAGCTGTTTGTTCCCACTGATTTCCATCTAAACAAATGGATGAGCATTTGACTTTTTGACTTTTTTATGGTATGTGGGCGTGCATTTGAAACTGTTTAACTTTGGTATGTTAACCAAGGACTTGGCCAGGATGTTAACCATGGTGCCAAAGACCCACGAAAATAATTTTGGTGGTGATGTTACTTTACTGCTGGGATGGGAAAACGCAGACCTGGGTGGGCAGAGAGGCACTGCCTCGTGTCGCGGTAATGCGATGGTTTGAGCAGAAGTGGGTAGCGGCAGAGCGGGTGGATGGTGAGCTGCAGTCCGGGTAGGTGGGGCGGGATGTCGGGGGTTGGAAGGGGAACGGAGCGAGTCCTCGGTTCTGGGGCGGCTCTCCTGCCTGCTCCCCGCTCCCTGCAAGGGGCCGCTGCGAAACGTGCTCTTTCACGGAGAGAATCGAGAGGAGAAAACGTTTTTCTGAAGCAGTTCTTTGGATTGTCAGCAAAACAAAACGCACGGACGTCCCGTTCCTTCCACTTCACCCAGCTCCCGCCCCAGCCACATAATCACAAAGAACTTGAAATCCCTGGGTGAGCCCGGGGAGCGTTGCAAAACCTGCGCTCGCAAACGGAGCGGAGGGGGGAGGGCGTGGGAAGCCGTGCCAGCGCGCGCAGGAGTCCGTCCCGGCACGGAGCGGGGGGCTGGCAGGATGGCAGGCTTCCTGCTGGATAGCCTACCGAGAGGCAGAAATCCCAAAAAGCCTTAGTGCCGGATGAAGTGTTCAAGGATTTTTGTGTAAGGTCAGTCTCCGGAGGAAGGGCATTTAACGCTGATCTCTGTAGCTGTTAGCCTTCAGATGCTTTAACTTCTCCAGGAGTTTCATCCTCATAGGTAACTGCTGCTCCTGGCTCAGACCCTTACAGTTTGCGTGAGATGCGTTTGGTCTTTCTGTTTTTCTCTTACTTCAGCTTTCCCCCCCCTCCCCTGTGACAGCACATTGAAACTAAAGAAAATGTAGGAAGGAGGCAGGTGGCTGGGAGAAGTGAGAAGACGGTGGTGTGAGGAGCTCAGCTTTGGAAGAAAGGAGAACTGCGGGGAGGGTTTGGGCTTCGTCTGGGATGGAACAGACTGTAAAGATTCTTTTTTTTTTAAGGACTGACTGGGTATGTGGGGCTTCTCCTCTGAAACGATCCTGGAGCTGTAAACCTGTGTTTCTGGGTACACAAACAGTCCAGAAATAATCTCCTTGGGTGTGCTCCGGGACAGACTTTAATTACCTCCTGGTGGAAGGCACCGAGCCTGGAAGTTGCTGATAAGTGAAAGAGATGATGAAAGCCTGGGACAGCGTCAGCGTCCCGAAGGAGCCGGGCTGGACGCTGAGGTGCTGCCGGGGCTGGGCTGGATTGCGGATCCCGCTCCTCTGACCCTGCTGTTTCTCTTGCAGGTGCCCCTTGGGTTGAACACTTGCTAGCTGAGAGCTGAAGTGTGGTCACCAGCCTGTGTGGAGGAGAACAGGATGCGGGTCACCATGAGGAGGGTGTTGCTGGTGGTGGGCTCGGTGATCGCCCTGATGGTGACTCTGCACCTCGGCCAGCAGGTTCTGGAGTGCCAGCAGGTCCTGAGCGAGAGGAGGCACAGGCTGATGAGACCCGAGAACGAGGAGCTGGTCATGATGGACTCCAACCACGTCGAGTACCGTTACAGCAAGGAGATGCCCCTGATATTCATCGGCGGGGTCCCACGGAGCGGCACGACGCTAATGAGGGCCATGCTGGATGCCCACCCCGAGGTGCGCTGCGGAGAGGAGACCCGCATCATCCCCCGCGTGCTGGCGATGCGGCAGGCCTGGTCCAAGTCGGGGCGAGAGAAGATGCGCCTGGACGAAGCGGGGGTGACGGACCAGGTTTTGGACGCCGCTATGCAGGCCTTTATACTGGAAGTGATCGCCAAGCACGGCGAGCCAGCCAGGTATTTGTGCAACAAGGACCCCTTCACGCTGAAGTCCTCTGTCTACCTGTCCAGGCTGTTCCCCAATTCCAAATTCCTCCTGATGGTTCGAGACGGCCGGGCTTCGGTCCACTCCATGATCACGCGGAAAGTGACGATCGCGGGCTTTGACCTGAACAGCTACCGAGACTGCCTGACCAAGTGGAACAAAGCCATCGAGGTGATGTACGCCCAGTGCCTGGAGCTCGGGCGGTCCCGCTGCCTGCCCGTCTACTACGAGCAGCTGGTGCTGCACCCCGAGCAGTCCATGCACGCCATCATGAAGTTCCTGGACATCTCCTGGAGCGACACGGTGCTGCACCACGAGGAGCTGATAGGGAAGCCCGGCGGGGTGTCGCTTTCCAAGTGAGTGTCTCGGCTCCTGCCTCGGCTTTTTGAGGAGCGTTTTCGTTACACGAGGCAGGTCAAAGACGCATGGCTTGTGTTTGCGCGTGCTTTTGCGGGGGCAGAAGTGGCAGCATGTCCAGTTTAGCTGCGGTAGGTTTTGTGTTTCTGAGTAGAGGACGGCTTGAATACCAGCAGACTGTTGTACCCAGCAGAGCAGCTTGTCAGGCGAGGATTGTAGAGCAGGTGACTGCTTTATTCATCTGTCTTGACAACGCAGAAATTATTTTGGTTTCTAATTTGAAAAGAACTGCGTGCTCTGAAACGTGAGCTCTTTAATGCCTCTTTTCTCCACCCGTCCTCAAATACCTCCTTACTGCAATTAGTTCTGCTGCTAATGAAGGGCTTTCAGCGGTGAGCAGGAATTCTTGCCAGGTTTGGCGCTGGTATTGCAGAATAAAGAAATACCTGCTCTGCGGAGGCACACCCCAGCACTCCCTCCTTGCCAGCTGTCTGCCTGTGTGCCAGGGGCTGTTTGCCTTCTGCCACCTTCTTCTCCTCCTCTAATGCTATTTATTTCCTAAATGGAGGCTTAAGTCTAACTTAGCAAAATGTAACCAGAGGTGTAAGGGGGCCGTAGAAGCACTCTCTGTACCAGTCGCTCATGCCGAGCGGTGAGGGTGGCTGTGGACACGCAGCTGCTCCGTTTCTCGGAGATGGACGTGGGCGTGCGGCCGGGCTGTGCTTCCCTCCACCATGAGATGCTCTTGCAGAGGAGGCCAGCTGTGGTGTAGGATAGCGAGGTGCAGGCACCATCGATAGCCAAAGCGGTGATTTCTCCGGGGCTTTCAGTGCTATTCGCTCAGAGTAAATTTGGCCGAGGTTGCCTAAACAGATAAGCTTTTGGATTTTCAGTGGGGTCGTGTGGTGTATCTGTGCTACAGACCACGTAGCTTTCATTATTTTCCTGTAATAAGCAGAGGTGTCCTGGTAACACCCTGACCCCGGTGCAGGATGGATCCCCCGTACAGGGTGACCCACCCTCGGGCTGTGGAGAGCCCTGCCAGGATCCCCAGAGCAGGGCTGTGACAG